TCACCAAAAATTATGTACGCTGTACTTTTCTGAACACAGGACTCTTTCCTATAAACATCTCACAGAATTAATGTTCAACAGAACACACTTCAGAAACTCTGATTTAGCTACACAGTAAACATTCAAATTGAACATTCATCATCAATTCTAAGTAGTAGCATGCTGAGATCGTAATATGAATTATATTATATATAGTAATTTGCTTTCAATAATCTCAAAAAGTTAAAGCTGACTACTGTAAGAATGTATTTACTAGAATTATATTGTAATAACATTACCTCAAATTAGAATTATAAGGTTCATTAGACTCAAAGAAAAGTCACAGCACAGATTAAAGATGAAATTGACAAAAGGATATGTCATGTTATATATTCAATCAATTTTTATAAAATATTTAATAACAGATATAAAATGTCAATAAAATTAAGCGATCAACAAGCTAAAATAGTGCCATGAGTTCCTTTTATTTTTATTACTTCTATTTCTATAGCCACAACCTAAATTTCAGATTTAGTTTCCTCTCACTACAATGCCCACCCCTAAAAGCTGCTATTAAAACACTAATTTAAAGCTCTAATTTATATCCCCCTAATCAAAAGCCTTCAATGGTTTCTCATTGTATATTCAAATTTGATTCCTGAAAATAGCTTTTAACATAATCTATAATCTGGTGCCAATCAACTTCCAAATTGATATACCTCAAACTTCATCTTCATCCACTCCTTTTTTCAACAATTTTTTTTTTTTGAGAACCTGGTACAATTTAGGTACCAAGATAGGTTCCAAAACACTTGATTACAGTGGTTCTCAAACTTTAGCTTGCATCAGAATCTCTAAAGGGTTTGTTAAAATAGACTGGGACTTCACCTCCAGAGTTTCTGCTTCGAAAGGTATGGATTTACTAGTTCTCAAGTGATTCTGATGCTGCTGATAAGGATCTATTCTTTACGAACCATTGCTCTACTCCAAAGGCCACAAACTGGAAGCCCACGGGCTAAATGAGGCCCACTCATGTTTTCTCTGTGTAGTATTTTTAAAACATTTTGAATTACTTGCAACATTTTTAAAATTGGAAAATTTCACAGAAAATGCAGGTTTCTGGCTTATTCCTACATGTAAAACTTCTGCTGGAGCTTAACAGTAGGTACCCCAACAAGGGAGATACCCTAGCCCAAGTTACCACTACCCTAATTGGCCCTCTACACTCACATAAAATCACCTAGTTTAGCACTGTATTTGTACTTGTACACCCTGATCCACTTTTCCCCATTCTCTAGGCCTTTTTTCATGCTGCTCACTTTTGACTTAAACATCCCTTCACCATACTGCTGAAATTCTACCTAACTCATTCTAAATATTGGCTTAAAAATTCTTCCTCAACAAAGCCTGGGGAAAAATAGAAATCCTTAAATAACATACATACTAAAGATTTAACTTAAATTTAACATGTGTGCTTTAAGAATCGAGGTTTTATTTCCACAAATACTAAAATAGCAATATTTACCAAAAAAATTACAGATTATATCATAAATTTTAAACATACTTTTTGGTATTTTCAGTCTGTAAAATTTTAATTTTGTTCATTAAAATTTTTACTGTGAAAGAAATCTTTTTTTTTTAATTAAGTTTATTGGGGTAACACTGGTTAATACGATTATATAATTTTCAGGTGTACATTATAATTTGACATCTGTATATTCTGTTGTGTTTACCACCCAAAGTCCAGTTTAAGAAATCTTTTTCAAAATAAGACATTAAAAATGAATGTCATTTACATTCATTACAGCCAAAATACATAATAGCTCCAAAAAAATATCTTATTTTGCTGGACAAAAAAGGGAGGGAGGGTGGAGGTAACTGATACAATCACCCTAATTTTATAAGCTCGCAATCTTTAAAAACAATTTTGATGAAATAAACACTTCCAATTTTTTAACACAGAGGACATCTGAGTGGATTTTTACTTCTACAGAAGAGCAAGGGGGAAAATTACAGAGAAACGAAACTCCGTGCTGGTCCTTGCTCTGCCATAAATAGCTTTGTTACATCAAGTAAGTCACTGAGTTCTCCCTGAACTTCAGTTTCATTACCTTCTAAACTGAAGAGGTGGGAAAAAGTGATCTCCAAATACCTATCATCTCTAAAA